AACCCGGATGATTGTAAACACACTAAGTTCCTCTGCCTTGGGAAAGCTAGCGTGTCTCTGACATAGTGATAACACTCGTTGCCTTCTCTAGACCAGGTCTCATCCCTTTCGTCGGTATTTGTGATATCACAAATCCCGGAAAATATGCGTTGTAGTCCAAACGAGTCGTTCGTTGTAGTTTTTGAAAAGTGATTTCTATTAAATAAAATATCTCCTTTTGAAGTGGACTTTGAGCTTTGTAACTTTGCAGATCTTTTTTACGCTCAAACAGCAACATTACAGACTAACTAAAGTTGAAAAAGTGAAAAAGCATAATAGGACCCCTTTAAAAACACCCTAATGATGGATTTGTTTTTTGCAAACATGCAGCTTTTCACTTCACAAGATACTACTTGATGGACTGGAGTCGTTTGGTTTGGAGAACCAAAAAAGGTTCTTCTACGGCATCACCGTGCAAACCCCCTATTTTTAGGAGTGAGTAGACAGCAAGACAGCTCACTAGTGTTTGGAACATAGCCAAGATGCTGGTGTCATATTTAGGGCTGGGCGATACGGACACAAAAAAAAAATCATATCTCAGTATTTTTTTGGCTGAATTGCGATATACAGTATATATCTCATTATTTTTTTTTACATTTTTCTATTTGGATTAAAAATCTATGTATGTATTTGTTTCTTTATTTATTTTTAACATCCTGCCCAATGTTGTCCAATGAAACAATGTTTATATTACAGGCAATGAAAACAAATAGAGTGAAAGTAACCATGCAGGCTATGGGCTATTATGTGCAAAAAAGGGGGGCAAAAATCACATTACATTTTAACAATACAATCTAAAAAAACAAAAATAATGCTTTTTAAAGCAGAAGTTAAATTTACTAAACTGAAAATGAAAAGAAATAAAAACAAAAGCAGAGATTAATTGCTTTATATTTTGATTACACCATTACAATAGTCACTTTACAGTTACTGCTATCATAAAATACACTTACTTGTAGGTTTAAAATTCTACACATGGCACATTTATTGTCCAACTACAATTTTTTTTTTTAGCAAAATGTAAAAATTAGTCAGAGTTATTGCGCTCCATTTGGCGCCCTCGTTCACTTTATAAAGTCTGTGAAGTTTAGCGGAGAATCGCATGCAGAAAGGCTCGTGCACTGAGGAAAACAGCACATCTCAAACGCATTAAACAGCACAAGTCAGCAGCAAACCGCTGTAAACTATATGTTAACTATATCTTACATGTTATTTTAAAGCCCTAAATATAAAGTAGGGGTGGCGAACTCCGGTCCTGGAGAGCCGCAGCCCTGCAGAGTTCAGCTCCCACCCTAATGAAAACTCACCTACCTGTAGCTTCCTAGTAACCCTTCAGACCTTGATTAGCTTGTTCA